CTCTCTCTCTCTCTCTCTCTCTCTCTCTCTCTCTCTCTCTCTCTCTCTCTCTCTCTCTCTCTGTCCCCGTCGCTCTTTCGCTCTTTCTCCCGATCGCAAATCGAAAATAAAGCATCGCGAGCGAATTGTCGCGCTTGCACAGGTTTAGTATTCGCGAAAAATTCGGATTGAGATATTGCACTCGCGGTCTTGCTTTCGAGAGGCGGATCGCGCTCTCTCGGCGAACGACGTCCAAGGTACCAAGGACGACAATCCCGAATGGCATCTTTGATGTTGGCTGACAAAATGCGAAAATTTATTCATCCTTCAAGACTTAATGTATATAATTGTGTGCGCTCAATCTGGGTCCTTCCCAGAATTTTCGTATTAGCCATAATACCATCGATTCATTTACTATCGATCCGAAGCTATATTCTTCGTCCCATGTGAATCTTCCGATGAAGAAATCAATATGACAATCGTGTGCAGAACAAAATCGTCGAAGCTGGAAAATGTGTGCAAAATTTTTCACAAAAAGAAGTAACCGTTTTACCCACTGAACATAACCGCATACTTTTAGACAATTGTACTTCTCGGCAGTCAATTTTATTCGAGACATAAAGCTCACAGGATTTTATCGCGAGAGCATTTTTCAAAATTACTCTACACTGAGAACAATTTCTGGTAATAATTATCCAGCTTGTGTTATAATTACTACATTCAGTGAAATAGTATCAACTAAATATAAGAGGTGAATATTACTATATGAAAGTTAATGTTACTAACAATTTTGTAATTATTACCAAACATTTGATAACATTTACCATATTGGTTACTGTTTACCAAATGGTATGGTAAAACGCATTTGGTAAGTATTACCAAACTTTTTTTTTCAGTGTATAAAGAAAAACACTTGACTCGAACGAGATCGATGGCTGGGCCTCAAAGGGTTAAAACAGATCAATGCACGAGCGACTGATGAATATGAGGTGCAAAATGCATTCTCACGTTTAAGTACATCGTGTCCATTTGCGTGCGCCAGGACGACGGAGCCTAAACATTGGCGCAGAAATGTTTCACTTCCGCACGCGGCGGTGAAACGTTCCTGCGGGGACCGGATTGATCGATATCACGGGACCGGATCAGGAGGACAAAAAACGTGTTTCTCACAGTTTCACCTGTGTACTTTTGAAATTCACGTTTCACGCGAGAAGGTGTATCAAACGAGCCCGGCGACAAAGAGTCGTCCACGACGGCGCGTCGATTTTCTCGGCTCCCCATCGGGCGAATCGCGAAGGAAAAGCCCGGCGATAACACCTGGCGATACCCGGCCGGCTCGCTCGGCGTCATCGTCGGCTCTGCGGTGGAATCGCGCGCGATTGTCGTGCCGCGGCGAGAGAGGCTTCTCCGGGGCACAAAGTGGCAAGTGATGCATGACGGATGGCGGCGGTTATGATAACTCGAGCGTAGGGAGAACGTGGGGAGGCGAGGCAAGGCAGAAGGGAGTAACAGCAGGAGGAGGAAGAAGAGGAGAAGGAGGAGGAGGTGAAGGAAGGAGGAGAGCAAGGGGCGACGAAGCGCGAAGGGACCCGCGGGGAGAGAACGCGGGGAAGGCAGCAGAAGGAAGAGCAGGAGGAGAAGGAGGAGAGCAGAGGGGCAGGGAGGAGGACGTTTGCCCCCTCGCGATGATCATCGCCGAGAGTCATCGAACTTGGAAGGATAGGAAGAACGATTCTCCGTCTGCCGTCTCTCGTTCGCGATAGTTCGCTCGCTCGCTCGCTCACTCGCCTAGGATGTAGGATAGAGAATAGAGGCAGAGGCAGCCGCGGCTATCGAGAAACTCGAATCGGACCCGGGCTGTATTCCCGGGCGATATACATACGCCCACGTGTCGCGATTGTCGGCACAAATCATGCGCTTCCTGCTGCAACGCGCGTCTCGGCAAAAACGCGAGCGCAAGCCGACAATCCGATCGGATCGCGCGACGTGCTGGGTGGGTTCGTTTCGTTCTTTCTTTCTTATTTTCTTTCTTTTTTCGCGGTCATTTATTTATGACACGAGGCAAGACGGCAGGGACGATGCGTCTGCCTCCCCGTGCGAGATTTATGCCGGGATTTGTCGAGCGAGCGAGCGAAGCATCGCCTGGAACACCGCGAGGTTCTCCCTCGCGAGCGGAACCGCGCTCTCGCGACCTCTCTCATTAAAGATTGGCTCCGCGCTCGTTCCGCCGTTACGGAAGTATCATTCGCCGCATGCTGCGCATTTGGATCGGCTATTCGAGCAATCCAGAGACGCGAGAGACTAGGATAAAGCCCGGCAGCTCGCCGGGATCGATGAATCGAGCCGTGGGTCGTTATTATATCGCCAGCTCTCTTCTCTCGCGAGATGAAGGTGTCCACGTGTCTCCTCTTCGAGTTGTCCCTGCT